TTCTCGCTCGGAAACTAACTCGATGGCGGAGGGTTTGTTTCCCTGGAAACTAACAAACTTTGGGTCAACCGTATATCCGTATATGTGACAGTCATGCTGCGAAGGCGACCACGAGCCTTGGAGCCTTCCTCAAAGCCCTACCAAAATTGCAAAGCTGCTCTGGATGCGCCGAGACACGCGACTGGCATCAGTCGTGGTTCCCAAGGTCGTTGACGTAGTCGTTGGAGTGATTTGTGAATCAGCTGACAGTACAGAAGCATGACACACGTGACACTGCAATGGACATGAGCATGACAACACAGTTCGAGGTTGCACGTGGCTCTTTGCGGCCTCCATTGTAGCGCAAACACCTGAAAGTGTAGGCTGGATCATGGTACGTGTACAGCAGGTGACGCAAAGACAGCTCAAGCAAGAGTCAAGACACTTGAAGCCACTGAGGGGCACAGTGGCCTGTCCAGGGACTCGGTTCGGAACTCTAAAACTGAGGTTAAGGCTAAGGTAAACACTGCAATCTATTGCCAAGCACTGTCGGCTTCGCCTCTATACCTTCAGGGCGGATCCACAACTCACATCTTCCGCGGCTGTACTCGATTCCGCCACACCCATCCTGCATCCTGCATGCATCTTTACATTCCTTGGAAGTTGGCTCGGCTGCAAAAACAAACAAGCTTTGGAACTCTAACGAGTTCTCCTGTGCTACTGCAACCTTCCGTGCAGTCAAAGGACAGCCTCTGATGCTGCACCTCTCGAGGCAGGCAACACCGAGACTGCGTGAGAAGCCCTGCTCGTAAACACAGTAGCACACGTGGTAATAACTCTTCAGACTTCACTGACGGTTCAGGCAGCTACCGCGGGCTCTCCTGAAGTCAAAGCATGCACACTACGGCAACCCTGGCCTGAAGCAATGATGTAGTTTTGAGGGTTGTTGTCTGATGTGCTTGATCCTCGACAAGCCCGATTGTCTCCATCAATCTTGGTGAACTCCAGCCTTTCGCGTGCACACTGTCCACAAAACACGGTCATGGTCAAGTGGAACTGAATGGATTCCAAGTGGCTTCATGCACAAAACTCCCGGTGCTGCAATGGAAGCTTTAATATCATGCGACCACACTTCACAGCGAGAGCCGCTGAATTCGATGCCTTGCTGACAATTGAGCTGCGCTCCGCTACAACATCTAACCCGGGTCCTCAAACACTTCTGCCAAACGTCCTGCCTGTACAAGTAGCAGTGTTTCTGCATAGCTGCTTGCATTGGCTGAGGGAGGTAACTGTTTGCACCGTCTTGTGGCTTGAAGAATCATCTTCAACAGTCTCTCCACGGCAGGCACGATCAATGCCAGCACCAACTTCAATGAAATCAGAAATCTCGTAGCTGTAACACGAATATCCATCCAAGCCTGTGGCTATGATGCTCCATTGCAGCACTGTCTGCATCAACTCTGCGCATCGCTTTGCAACAGCCACGAGAACCCAGCATGTAGACTCGTGTAAAGAGTAAGTCCGGGGCTGATGCTAGCCTCGATCCCGCCCTCTCGAGTCCAAATCTCACATCTTCCAGAGCTGTGGTATTCCACGCCTTTGCAGCCTTCTGTGCTCTCGCAAAGCTGTTGGCAAGCACTGAGGTCGGCCAGCCCCTGAGTTCGCGACTCGCAACACATGTTTGCCGCAGTCCGCTTCTTGTCACACGAAAATGCAATCAAGTAAACTCAAGCGTCCAAGTTCCTCCTCCTAAGCAGTTGCTAGCGGACTGACTTACTGTTGCACTGTAGCCAAAGGTTACCTCTTACCTGAGACCTATTGCCACTTGATGGCTGCCGGCATGCTCATGTAACAATCTGTGCGTTAAGGCTTGACCTGTCCCCTAGCCAAGATGTGAAAATTGTGAAAACATAAACGGACCGGTTGCACTGACCCTTTAGATAGCAGCGGGAGCTAAACTTGGCGCCGGAACTGCTTTCTGCAGATACATAGTCCTTCGTCATGAACCGTTTCCAACTTCAAAGCATGGCTTCGTAACCGAATGGAAAGGATGATCATCAGGGTTCATGTGTGTTCAGCATACGGGAAGGTGCGACCCTCTGGCCCTACTCACACTCACATCTTTGCTTGCCATGTTGCCTGTTGCACAGTGAAGTATGAAGCCAAGTTGTCTCCAGCTGACTTTCCACGACAAGCCCGATTTACGCCGCCATCAACCGGCATCCACTCAAAGCCAGAGGTCGAAGCGAAGACGCGATCCTCACGTCAAAACCAGGCGGATTCGCTGCCGATGCTAGATGCTGAACCTTGCGCCATGGGCATGCACTCTGAGCTTGAATCCATCCCAGTCAGGGTCATGAGTCGACGGAGGGAAGGTGTCTTCTGCAAGAAAACCAAACCTGCCACACGGCAAAGGGCAGCGTCCCAGTAGATTTCGCTTTCGTGACAAGGTGCCTCCTGATCGGGGACATGTTTCGTTCTTTACAGCAGGAAGAGCAGTCGCAGCGCTCGCGAGCCGAAACCTCAGCACCGGAGCTTGTGCTTTCGTCACATGGCACTGGAAAATGAGATGCAAACAAGTCGCCAGCACAGGCAAAAAATCCTGCTGTACAATTTCATGGTTGGCCTGTTGGGCTTTCCTGCTATACACGCCAAACAGCCTTGAGCCAAAATCACAAAACCGAAATTGCCACGATGCTTATATTGCACACCATGAACACATGTCACATGCATACTACTCAACCCTGATCAAAGTCGATGCCTCCTGATCAACGGAAGCTGTGAATGAATAGTTTGCCTGAGGAACGGAGAAGTCCTGGACAGATCTAGGCGTCGCTGTGTAGTCGGCCTTTGGTCCTTTGAATTTCACAGCCCGATGCTCCTTTAGCCTCTCCTCGAGCTCTTCAACGCGGTCCTCACAGGACGCAGACGGTAAGGTGGGCTGTGCACTGCTCTGACGACATCCTTCAATGCAGAAGTTGGCTCTCGAAGTGCTCCATAATAGTTCCATAATTGCCCTTGCCTCAGTGGCATGCACGTGTGCAAGTCTTTCTTTTGCTTTGTCACGACACTGAGGCCTTAACAAATCTGCGCGAAGCTGAGCAATTGCTGCCTGCCAGCTCTTCTGAAATTCAACAGCACCACCACCCGGAAAGCCTGCGTCACTGCGCCCACACATGTCCGCACCGACCCCCTGGCTCTTCCGTGGCTGCACAGTCTTGCAAGCTCTGATGCATTGACAACGGGCCACGGCATGCAATGCCTCGAGCTCAGCACGCACTTCAGCCATGGCTGGCGTCTGCTGCTCGGCTTCACTTGCACACTCCCGCTGACTGCTTCCATCTCTACAGAGGCTCCTCCATAGTTGAGATGAACTCATGGGTTTCGGTTTTGTCTTGTAAGCGTGATCTCGCCCATGCCCGAAGAATCCCATGTCAAGCTTGTGTCCGCTGCACAAGGTCACTTAATAATCCTCAAAGGCGAGTGCTTCCGAGAAAAATTGCAAATGTTGCACAGTGTCTACATCTATATCGTCGAACCGCAACTGAACACAGAACGGACCAACAGTCAAGCTGTTTGGCCTACTAAGGCCACAGACATTTGCGCCGCCATTCCCTGCAGTGCAATGAACAGCTTCGGGCAGGCCAGAGGCAAGCAATATCGATCCTTGTCATGCGCTAACCTGGCAGCAACTTTCTGCAAGTGCAACCCGGCCTGCGTAATGTCGTAAACATATGCAGTCACCTTGCAATTCAATTCGCTTCTCAGTTTAGAGTCACCCGTGCCCTGCAAAGACCAACTGTGGATGGCCTTCGCCATCACTGGCAACAGTCTCACAAAGAAACGACTACCGCTTGATCGAGGTGCGTGTTGCATACCACAACTGCAATGCTTTTGCAAGTGCTGGCATCAAAAGGAACACTGATGGGAAAACACAAATCCATTTCAGAAGCATGCAGCCTGAGCCAGAATCACGTTCACTGCCGTATCTCAACTGTGCTGACAGTCGCACCATACACAGCGCAGAGACAAGTTAACGTGCAACTGCTACTCAAGCTTCACGAAGGCTCGGTCTTGGTCTGCACGCAGTGCTGATAATTTCACATCGATAGCACAAAATTGCATGTACAATGTAGATGGCAGCGACTGAAGGATTGTCGTGCACCCAAAACAGACGTAAAACTCGGAGATGTTCCTCTGAACTTGCATTCCTGCACTTCATGCCACGACAAGAAATCTTAGTATCAAAGGTTCATTCCAAGAGTGTTTTGAGTGAAGCCGTCAGAAAGTCAACAAAAAAAAGGAGCTGTCTGGCAACTGAGACAAACCACTTAGTAGTTGTTGTATTTCTTGCGAAGCACTCCAAGCAAACCATCCTCATGGTCAGTTTAAACAGAACTCAATCTGCTCAAGCTAAATGTGTGCACGCATTTGTGTGTGTGTGTACGTGCGCAGACACACACACACACACACAGACACACATGCACACACACACACAGACACACATGTATGTGTATACATATATATGTATATATAGCTGCAAATGATCGACGGTCTTGACGGAATCTTACATAGAATCATCTGTCTATTTAGACAAGCGTAGATTCACGCACATCCTCTGTTTGACAAGCGCAGGAGGCTCAAGAAACGGATGCGAAGTGGCAGATGCCAACTACCGCCTGCATTCCAGAGCAGTGGCTGCTTCAGCCGCCGCATTAGCCAAGTTCATTGCTGCTGTCTCGAGAGCAGCCGCAGTTGACTGGTCGTTCGGGATGTCTTTCTTGTCGACACCAAGCCCATACACCGTCTTTGCAGTACATGGATGTGTAGTGTCATCGCGTGCGCGCAATACTTGCAGCGTGGCCCGCAGAGTTTCCATGCTTGGAGGAGAGTCTTCAACATCAGCGACTTGCTGTGCTGAAGGCGCCATATCGAGAACAGCCTTGGCAGCAAAAGATGCATCCGCCACGGCTTTCCTCCAGGCGGCCGCGCTCTCCCCTCCCAGATGCCGCTCATCTGTGCTTTGATGATTGTGGCGGAATGCCGACAGAATGTAGGCCTCCTCGTTTTCCTCAGAAGACTGCGCTCTCAACATAATGCATCTGCACTCAACACCGCGCCTCGTTGCTCTCCTGCACGTGCACGGTGTCATCCTCATCCTGGGGTTCCTCGAGCAGCTCCTCTTGCTCAACAGCCACCTTGCCATCACATCTACTTGCAGTCGTCACACAAGACATACTGTGTGAGGTCGAAGTCCTAACAGGAGCAGCTGGGGAGGCCTTTCCCCAATGAGCCCGTCACGACTCCCAAAACAAAGTCATAACAAGTCTTGCTTCTCCGAAGCAACCACTGCGTGGGAGACATGTTGTTTCATGCGCTGCTTCTGTGCAAATCGCTGGTGGGAAGTCATAACAATCCTATCCTTTTTCCTGGTAGCCGCACCTCCAGAGCTGCAAGTCTAGGAACGGACGAGGGATGCTTTCACGTCCTGTCGGGGGTGATACACCCGAGAGATAAGATAGATGTGTTGATTCCCGACCAAACACCGTGACCGAGACTCCTTTTCGATTACAACAGCTGATCAAAGAAAGTCTTCGACGATCCCAGAAAATCAGGCTACTGCGCTCCACCGGAACCCCAGCGTGGATGCTGAAACGGCCGCTGTTTGGATGCCAGGCCGGGCTCCTATTGCTTGATATTGCTTGACCCCAAAGTGGACGCTAAAAGATGTGTATTTCCTCAACAAGACGCGAGTTAAACCCTCGGTGCGAAGCTAGGTCTCGATTACCTTTTAACGTGAAATATTTTAGTTGGAGGCCTTGGAGCTACAAACAAGTTGCGTTGAGATTGCTTCGGTGAAACTGCAGAACAAGTCGGAACACATGCTCTTGTAGACAGGCCTTTAGAACCGAATGCCGTTACGACTTCCGCTTGCAGATTCCCTCCAATGTCGACCCTGGACAGCACTGCTGCCGAGAGCTGTAATGCTGCGTTCAACGTCCTCAAGCCGAGTAGCTGCAACTCCGTCGCCACCCGCTGAAGGCTCTGGACACAAGTTCGAACGAGCACCGATCGACCGGGCGTCTGCCTGCGCAATTGCAAAACCAATCTCTAAAGCTTGCCATGAGGTCACGTCGCCTCCCAGCGAGAGCCCACAGCCGGCGTCATCTGCGTAAACCTTGCTTTCTTCGGTTGGCTGCTGGAGAAGTGCACCAGTGGTTGCTAACTGGGCTTTGACATTCCCTAACTGACCATCATATCTTCATGATGCTTCTGACAGGACTCCTCCAAGCTACACATCGAGAACATCGAAGCCGTGCACCTAATGACTAGTTTACAACGGAGCTGCCCAGAGAAGTGGGGGGACTAGTGCGGCCGGTCACGGCTACAGCCGTGCTTCTCATCCACCACCACAATCACCATCACCACCACCTAGTGACCATTTTGAGTCGGAAGCTCCTTCAGATCAACAGCCCAGAAAGAAGATGTATTTTCTGAGAAAGACGCACAGACACACATACAAGAAAATAAAAGGCTCAGCGAGAGGCATCATAGAAACTGAAATGGAGAGCTAACACCAGCAAGCTCTCGATTTATTCAAGCTTCTGGTGCCACGACGGAAACTCCGACCGGCCAGATGTAAAGGAGGTAGCGACAACACGAGCACCCAATCACTGAGTCCGAGGCCCGAGTTCGGGTCCTGGCATGGCTCGCATACTCGAAGTTCGGTGCATCACCTGTGCCTGTGCCGAAGTGTCAAGGAACACGGCACCCTGCAGGATCGGGGAGGAAACTTCTTGCCAGAAAGCTGCACCCAGGACATAGTTTGAAGTCGGCACAGGCCGTAGCACGGACCGATACGCCACCACCTCAGCAGGACTGTTGCTATCATGTACGTGGAGAACCAGCTTCACAAGCCAAGCTTCTGACTGGAGACAGGGACCGTGCGGCTTCCCACCCTCGAACTGGAGATGACACGGAAGCAGCAGACCTCGAACTATGCTGCTTCGCGGTGCATCTCACAAAGTAAAACTGCTGTCGCATGCTTAGCTGGATGCGGTTGAATATAGCTGAAGGTAGTTCGGAAGGATGTTCCTGGTGATGCAGTCGGCGACGGTGGCAACGTAGTCCAGTTAAGATTTGAGGCCTTGTTGGCAAAAGTTTGCCGCAGGTCACTGCCAAAGTCTGCTTCTTGGGCAAGAACGTTGTTTGCTGCATGGATCACTGGTGCAGGAGAGATCGATCTGGCCCTGACAGGAGTTCGAACATAGCGAGTGTACTGCAAGGGAGTCGAGCACGTGGAACTCGCCCGTGGAGACAACGGAGACACACTCCTCAAGGCCAAAGGTTAAGGCAAGGGCTCCCAAGTGTGCAAACAGAAGCCCCTCATATTCTCTTCCAATGGCTTCAGAATCTATCCTCTGTGTCGCAATTGCTCCCAGATGAACTGCTGCCAGTTGGTTGCCCAAAGGCTTGGATGCCACGGGCACCGGGAGCCTTGCACGGGAAGAGAACACAGCAAACAAAAGCGACGCATGTCAATCTCAAAGGCCTCAACCTGTCCTCAACCAATTCTCACCATGCACAACAATATGCACAACTCCAAGACGGACGTCGCCACTGCCCCGCTACACGTGGTGCTGACTCGACTGTCGGCGTGGACATGAGGATCAAAAAACACTGCATAGAGAATCAAGGCAATGTGGCAGACGTGGCATGACGAGCATGGAAAGAGGTTGGCTCTGTTCGGGTTCGGTGCACTGAGCAACCCTCGAAGAAGGGGCGGCTCGCCGTGTTGCCTAAATCAAAACCTGTGATGAGACATTGAGAGTCTCAGCAAATTACTGGCTTCTAAATACGTGCGCACTGTCACTAGCAATGGCTTCCGGTTTTGTCGACGAGATGCAATGCAAAATGTTCAAACCGGCAACAGGAACGCAAGCACAAACAAATTGTGAAGGGCAGCATCCAATTTCACAAACCGACATGAGCTCGGACAGCAAGAGAACAATCCAGGTCTCACACATCTCTGCTCCTCCGTTCCAAGTTCGCTTGTCCAAATCCTTGCTACGCACAAACTAGTCCCCAAGACCTCAGCATTCGTGCGTTGTTCCTCCCTGTTCCTATTGCTCCCTTCTTTTATGTCGGGCTGCAAGTTCTAAACCGGTGCTGAGGTCGTGAACTGCGGAAACTTTCGCTTCGAATCGGCTCGTCGCTCGCGTTCTGGAACAGCTGACATGGTGCTCATGAGCACAACTGTACACAGACGCTGTTGCTTGAGTTTGGTGCCTTTGATTTTTGAGCAGAGCTAGCACGAATTTCGTTTCTTAACACATGTCTCGTTGCCGCTGCAACGGTCACCTGACACTTGTTGCTCTGAGGCTGACCTGCTGCAGAACAGTTCAACAATCACATCCGAGTCGCAACCGACGACCCACCCACCCACCCACCCACCCACCCACACACACACACACACACGCACAAAAGAAAGCAAAACAAACAGGATGGGTGTGGCACGTTCGTGTTCAAGCTGCGCACGGCAAGCAATCTGCGGATTTTCGGGGCCTCTCGCAATCACAGCCTCAAGCGGGTCTTTGGCAAACCCTCTGTACTCAAAACTCATGACCTGCGCACACCCCGTGTCCGCCCTCCTAGCCTTCCAGCCTCCAAAGAGATCTCAACATAACAAACTCAAGAGTTTGGTGTATTCATGTGTATTCTTCGTCTCAGCCTGCCCCTGCGTCTACATCTGGCCGAGGCCCCCAAGTTCCGACTAGATGTAGACACCACGCCCGTCAAAGAGCATTGAGACTTACAAGTCGGACGACAACGTCTACAATCGTCCACTGACTGAATGTCGGACAAAATCAAGCCTCAAGCAACCCTCGCTGCCTCTACCCAAAGCAACCCTCGCTGCCTCTACCCACCCGTCAGCCCTGGAGCACTCACTCACAGATACTTTGAGTGCTTACGTGACCCGCGTCGCCCTTCCGACTTGCCCTCATCGCCTTCCAAACTCCCGAAGGACTTGAACGAGACACTCGGTAAAACGGACGGAAGACAGATACTGCAGTGTTGAAAAACCAATGTACCTTGTTCTGTCTGAGCAGGTCCCCGGGTTAAAACATCAAATGTTAGCAGATGATACAGGAACTTTCTTGACGCTGATATATGTTGCAGCCGATCTTTGTCTGTCGCCTTCTTGCACGGGGTGTTCACGACGGGATGCAGAGTCTGGAAGCAGCCTGAACTGTTTCAAAACACACTATAGGTTATGACGGTTGATAATTCGCATATCGCTAACCATATGAAGCAACGGGGATCAAGGAAGCAGGCGAACAAGAAGAAGTGCGACCCGGACGCAACCCACAGGACGAGCGATGCGATCGTGGTGCATTGAAGCACCGGCAATCTAGGTCTCTAGCAGTTTTCGTCCGTTGTACACTCACAAAGCGTGCTGCTATAAAAATGGACGCAATGTTTTACACAGGAAGATGGTCTTCCCAAGTCACCGGTGGCTTCGGACGCAAGTCCAGTGGCTGTGTCCGTTGCAACTGCTAAACGCCCCACTAACCCTAAAGAAGCCTGTGGTGTGAGACCATACTTCCACGAGCTAGGATGTTTCACATGCATGTAGTTCCCGGTCTGAGCCGGTTACCAGGAGTCTCCGCACATCCTTCTTGGATATTTGTCGTCGTCGTCGTCGTTTTAGTCTGTTTTAATTCGCATTTAGAATTATTGCGCCTGACGAATCCGATACTAAACTGCAGAATCAGAATGTCAACGACTTGTGAATGCAATAAGAAATCTCAATTCCAACAGGCAATGGGTCTCAAGGCTGGTGAACTACGGTGAAACTCTGCATGTACGTGGTTCCAGCGTCCCAGAACCATATCAGCACGATCTGAAAAGCCTCTTGGTGCGATGCTCACTCTTCAGGTGTGGGACATGCCCCTGCATTTTAGCATTGTACAGTTGTACAAAATCTCATCTTGGTGAAACAGTCAAGTTCAGCTACTTCACAGAAGCAGACGATCACTTCCTTAGGAACAGGTTTTCCACACACACACACACACATACACATTGGCTTGGTACGAGTGACTGTGAAGAACGATTGTTTCTCGGTAATGCTCTAAAGCTTACCTTCTTATGTCTGAATTGTTGTACCGCGTGTGTGTGCCTCCGTTTGGGCCAGTCAAGCTCAAGCACCGTCTGCTGCAGCCGGGTTCATTCCGGGCATGCGTGTGTGTGTGTGTGTGTGTGTTTGTGTGTGTGTGCGCGTGCGCAAACGCCTGGACATCGCATCTGTTTGTCAGTGGGGGGGCAGCGATTACAGCCATCTGTCGTTCTGGCAAGTTTTCTGCGTTCTGCAAGCGTTGAGGATCCCACTGAAACCCACTGTGGGCACAAGTCACCCTATTGCAATCCCGATGTCGCGAGCTTATGCTTTTGCCCACTGCGATCTGGCCACATGTCGGGAACTCCAAAACGACCGTTGATCCTGGGCCCGTTTAGTTGCATCAGCTAAACCGGAACCATTCTGGGCGCGAACTACGCGAATCAAACAACCATCATTGGGATCAAAAAGAGTTTCTCCAACATGCAATGGTCCAGGCTGGCTCCATCGACTGCTTAGAGGCTTTACATCTCGAACCTCAGATTTTGACGATAGTGTACAAGAGCTTAATGATGTAGAGCAGGAGCTAGAAGAGCTAGAAGATGAACTGGAAGGTGATGCACTTTTCTTCGGCTGGTAAGGCTTCTTGGATGATTAATTTTTCGGCTTGTAAAACTTTTTGGAGGATTTCCTTTGTCTCAACATACCCCTTTTGGGCTTCTCCTTGATGGTCGCCTTGAATGCTTCCGCCATATACCTCCTTCCGAAAAGTCAAGAGGATTTGGAAGTTCATCTTCTGAAGCTGACATAACTCAGATCATTTCCCTACTTCTACATTGTCCTCGATCCGCAATCAAGTTAACATTGATCCGCAAACTGAACAATGCAATTCTGCAGATGTTGCTTTAGTTGCTCAAGACGAAAGGGTGGCAATTGAATTCAGTGGCCAGTACGTTCCGATAAACGCAAAGCCAAAAAAACTTCGCTGCATCGGTGTTATCTCGGGCAGATGATTTGAAGATGATCTCGATGCTCTTGATTGCCCGAAAAGTCTTTATGTTTCATGGCGACGAAACTATCATCCACTTAATTTCGAGCCACAATCAACGAACCGTAATACATTACACGAGAAGTTTCTTGACACAGGACCACGAATTGAAAAAACAATACAACAAGTCCTTTTTTGACGAGAGACTTAATGTGCACTGTCAGTGAAACATCTTGCAAGAGGAATTGACTGCCACAGGAATTACGGCTCCTTATTGCATGTAAAACAAACAAACTGAATCTTGCCAGAACCTGCTCTGATGCACCAATAACTAGTCCGGCCTAGTATGAAACGAACTGCTCTAGCCACCTTGAAGCTCTGGAAAGCTTGACATGATTACCCAAAGCAGCAGCACAAAAGTGCATTCCATGCGCTCTTGCTGTGGAAGTGCATGTCCCTGCATTCTTGCAAAAGTTGCTATTCAAGAATTTGACCATCTTCCAGGCGGTGACTGCAATCCAACCGAACAACAAGGTAAAATACCGGTAGAGAGTGCTCCACAAAGTGTCTGGACACCACATCCATGATACCCACAATAGTGGCTGGTTTCATCAATTTGCCAGCTAGCAACATCTTCAACGAGAGGTGATGGTTTCAGATCAATAACAATCATCGCCCAAGCAAAGATTTGCAATGCTTGCTATCCATTGGATACATAGGAGTCATCTTGGCAAGAATTTGAAGAATCTCGTTACACATGCTGTCCAACTGTTGGTCCGGAACATGTAATGCATGTTCCAAAAGAAGATCTACAAGAGCTTTGCCTTGGCATGTGTATTCAGATCTACAAGCAGCTAGGGTCGCCATAGGGTGGGGTTTAACAAGGTCAAAGGCAAACTTCCCATTGCTGGGGCAAAATAAGGAAGTTCAACCACTCGTTCTGAATGTCTTCATCTTGTTCAATTGGTGGTAGGGGTCCAGAAAAAACAATGCTTGCTAAGAAGCACACGTCTGTCATACCCAACAGCATCAACGGCCGAAGAAACGACGACATACCAGGTTGTCCAGCTAAATCTGAAGACGGACTCAATAGCATCCCAGTGCCAGGTTGACCAACTTGATTTACAGGTGGAACCGGTGGCGTACGCTGAACCGATGTATTGAAAGCGTAGGCACGTTGACAACCGGAGGTGGTGCAATTGGTGGCCTGGGTGCTTCCAATGCCATACGTTGAACTCTCCACAACGAATAGGTATTGGGGCTGGCGAGAAACCGAATGACTCATACGTACAAAACAGAACGACATGACTAAACTAATGCTGCATCCATGCCTCCTGACTTTCTTTCTCTCAACGAAGACGAAGGGTGCTTTCTGGGTGGCGAATGGGTGCTTGTTGGGTAAAGCAAGACGATTGGGTGCATGTTGGGTTCACATCTCGAATGGTGAGTATAACAACCATTGTATAGGAATGGCGCAGGCTTGGGTTTCATTAAACCGCACGAATTTCTGGATATGGGTAACATCTGGAACTAGTCTGCTGTATCGATGAGATACCTCAGAGAAGGGTGCTTTCTGGCAGGGGTATGAATGGGATTGCGTAAGCCTTCTCTCAGCATAGGGTTCTGGGAAGTAGTCTCGTCTAGGACCAGAATGTAAACTGATTTGTTGGGTATAATTCCGGGGGCAGCGCCCATCACGACGGCCAGTTTGGCAGACGCACCAGCCGATGAACACGCGACATGTGGTTCCCGGTCTGAGCCGGTTGTCAAAAGTCTTCGCACATCCCTCTTGAGTATTTGTCGTCGTCATCATCTTCGTCTCTTTTAATTCTAGTTTTGGATTATTGGCCTGACGAATCCGCCGTTACTAAACTGCAGAGTGTCAACGACTTGTAGATGCAATAAGAAGTCTCAACTCCAACAGGCAATGGATCCCAAGGCCCAAGGCTGGTGAACTACGGTGAAACTCTGCATGCACCAGAACCATATCAGCACAATCTGAAGAGTCTCTTTGTTGGATGCCCGTTCTTCCGGTGCTGGGCATCCCCTTGCATTTTTGCATTGTGCAGAATCTCATCTTGGTGAATCGGTTTTCCGCACACCCACACACACCTTGGTTTGGCACGAGTGACTGAGAAGAGCGACTGACAGGACGAAACGACGACAGATTGCGGGAACCATGCAGAATCACTTTCACTGATTGGCCGAAGACAGAAGCAACAGCTTTCAGGGTATTTTGGGCGGCCATGCAGGTACACACAAGGACGTCTCCCAGTGCATCACCAGGGTGAATGGGCGTCTTCGTTGGCAGCGATCCCAAATACTCTGTCGCTGACCCCTGCTGACGAACAGACTGACTAGCCGAATCTCTATGGAGCCTACGCTTGCCGAATGGATATCAGGACAAAACGCGCACTTTTTGGGCCATCCTGCTCTGGTTCCGGCCAACATGTCAAAAATACCTTCCTCCCTTGAATCTCCTTGTCCTTCTTGATTGTCTGGCGTCTTCATCAGGCTTCGGTGGCTAGAAAAACCTCGTGTGAACGGATGCCTGGCAACCCCTCCCGCATCCTGACTTCGTACCTTCGTCCCGCTCTCCTCACTTCTTACCCGCACTCCATTGACTGATCTTTTGATTTTCATTGGGCGGCATCCAGCCTGATCCCTAGAAGTTGTTGCTGGCTTATGCTGCAAACACAACTGACATGTCTAGACTGATCTTCTGGAGTGCAGTGTAGGCAAAAGCAGATGTGCAACACGAACCGGAGGCTGTGTTAAAATCAAAGCTGAAACAGGAGGAGACGCAAAGGACACAAGCGGACCAAAAGGCTGTACAACTTCCTCTGAAGACAGCTGCACACGCCGTGCAGGCAGGCCGCGGTCTGGCAAAATGACCACCAGAAGCTCCTGAACCTGGCAAGCTGTGTACTTCCAATTCCTTGAATGTGTCCCTGAGTTAAACTGGGGAAAGCACTGAATAGACCAGTCACCGGTTCTGGACAAGTCTGGGACCTGGGGTTAGGCTGGCATAAAATAAAACTGTGTAGACCAGACGAGATCCAAAGCGATCGATCTAGCCACTCAGCGGCACACGAGTGGCTGCACCCCCGGCTTTGCAGGGGTGTCGCAGCCGCTGCCTCGCATCGCATGTAGATGATGTAGATCAGTGCCGAATGTTGCAGCAGCAGGTTTTGTTTTCTCCAACATCTGACAGGCATTTCGCAGTGGATCCTGTGAAACTGCTCAGTGATACTCAGTGATAAATCACGCGCTCCCGTAGTTCCTTAGCAGCGAGGCCCATCATCTCAGAGATCTTCTATCTTACAGGCTACACTTCCCTTGCTGACACTCAAAGCAAATCTGCAAGAACGCCTTGATTCCAAGTGGCGTGCCAAGTCTGAACCTCAGCCGATGCAAAAACGTGTCAGATTCTAGGAGAAACAAAGCATTGCAGATCAGCAGCTGTGGCACTCCGACGGTGGCAGGCTGCTTGCTGTGAAAAGGTGTCTTCCTCAGGTTTTCAAGCCAAGCCGTTGTCTCTTCCATGGCTAGAGGCGGACAGGAAGGTTTTATTGACAAGGGCTGCTATATGGATTGCTACAGCATGCATGCGAGCGACACTGATCCAAGTTCCAAATTGTGAAACTTCCCTTCGAGTACCGTCAAAGTTCAGGCCTGCACAATAAAATCGATAATGTTCGGAGTTACACTCCAAGATGTATAGGCGTCATGTGAGAATCCGCACCGACAGCTTCGGCATTTCGATCTCCACACACGTCTCCGTAAGCAACGACAGCCGTCGAGTAAGTTTTCATTTGCACATTTGAGCGTATGTTTCTTTGACCTGCGTATATGCTATGGCCGGAGGGCATAACTAGATAACTACACGGTACCCTTCCCGACCTGTCCCCATTCCAAAGTGCCGTATCTGTTCCTGATGCAGCCTGATGCACTCTAGCTTGGGTCAGAGCTGTTCCAGTGTGTGACAGTCAGCACAGTAGGCGTTGCCAGGCTGGTTTGAAAGTGGCGTCTTCCGACAACGAGACTTCGTGTCGCGATATAAACGGATGCTTTAAAGCCCTGTATGGCGGCCTTCCCTGGACCCGATTGAGTCGAAGATATGGGTCAAGATGGAAGAATCTCTCAACATTCATGAGCAGGCCACGCAGCTGGACGGTAAATCTCTTGCTTGGCGTTTAGTCAATCTTTATCAGTGAACAAGAACCTCGTTCGTCGTCTTTGAACCTTAGGCTTGCAGGGGTTCGGATTGCAATGAACGTCTGCAGGCCATGATTCAATCTGCGCCTATGGGTAAGAGCTGAACCAGACGACCCATTGGTAGGACTCTCTGCACTTTCTAAAACTGCACCCAGTATGAAGATGTCCTTCGCTGTATCGGTTGTTCGGTCTGTGCGACACGTGCATGCATTAATCAATGCAAGTTGACCTCAAAGCATTCTTGCTTGTGCGGCTGCTTCTGGACTGCAGATGTTCGTCCAGAAGCTTACGCCCACAAGCTGAATTCAACACAAGGACTGTTGCTGCGTAGACCAGAAAATCTATTTTCTAACCAACGTTGAATCTGAGGTGATCTGAGCGACCAAGTCTTCAGTCGATCCATGCACCTTAGCTCACTCGAACAAGTCAGCCGTCATCCAGGTCGTCGAGCTTCTGCACCCCCCGGCATAGTCAGCCCTTTATGTCAGAGATTCCAGGATGTTTACTTAACCTTCTAGGCCTAGGCAAGATGCCACATGTGGAAATACATGCCAACCGTGTCAGACTTCAGCAGAGACTGTCTTAGTTTTGCGCTTGCTGCGATTAACATCAAACCCGATTTCTGAGAAGCCTCCTTCTCTAAGATTCGGAAGCCGTGAGCCCTTGCAGGCCTTTGGGTCTTTCCATGCTAGCCATCTAAGCAAATCAAAAAGCGTTGCCGAGAATTGTTGACGGTCTCGACATTCATTGATTTTGGCTTGTTGAGTGCAAGTTAAGATAGTGACCCGCATCACGAAACTCTCGCAACCAGCAATCGCACCTTGCTTTTCCGTGCTGAGTCCAGCGACCTGGTCAACATCTCCTTCACGGGATAGACACAGTTTCGGATGAGCGACAGCAGAAAGGACCTGACGCTTGCAGAAGACCTGACACACCTCACTGATGTCCGCCAAGCGAGGCTCCGACCCAACAGCGAGAAGCAATCTTGTGATCACCGCCTGATGCTCGCATCCATTCGTAGAGGCTCTCGAGGAACTGGTTTGGGAATTGCAGCTGTGATGTCTGAGGTCCATGCTGTGCAGTCCAAGCAACCGTATAAAGCTAATTTGAAGCACGATTCCTCAGACTGAGAGCCGTTTACCCACCAAATTCACTCAATCACTCATGCACTCACCTGCTAGATCAATGAGGAAGATACCTCCGGAGGAGCTTCTGAAACCTCCTTGCTCTCTTCGGGATCTGCATCTGCCATGGCTGCTCTTCAGCTATCATCACGAAGCCACCTGCTGAGAATGGCTCACTTGACTTTCCTAGGTCTCTAGGTCTACCGTACTTATGCAGCACTGCATCTTCCCCCACCGGTTCAGTCTCATGGCACTCAGCGGAGCCGCGAGGCAACAGCGCTGACGCTACAGACAAACAGCTCGAGGGCCAGCTTGGCTCAGCTTGCCGGGGACTTGAGCAGACGCTTTTCTTCGAGGATTTATCTCTCAGCGCGGATCATGTTGCCAGCGGCACCAATCTCCTTGTCGCGAACAAGCTGGAGGAAAGATTCTCCGGGTACTGTAACAACCGACGCTGTGCTTTACAAGCAGCGATAGCGCTTCCAGCTTGGGGTACTGCAGGCATCAGCTGGCCTGATGTCATGCATCATTGTACCGACCAGGAGCTTCCTTTCTCCGGGTGCACTCCGAGATGCCGCTTATGCATCGACCACATTCATCATATAGCCTCCAGAGTCCTGCACTCATTCATAAAATCATGCGAAATTCTTGTGACAGTGCCAGTGTCGTGACGAACGGCAGGCCTTTCGGGAGCTTCTTCCGCGCGTCTTGTTGCGACAATTCGCAATGCAAAATCCTTGCGAGGTTCCACCCTTCACAGCGTGGTAGCATTCCAACAAGCTCAGAACACAAAAGCGACATGGCGGAAAAAGGCGTGAGCACAGACACTGAAACCATATGAAGTCCCTTTGCAACACCAATATCCCCGGTCTGAGACTGGGGCGATGCAGATTCCAAGATGTCGGCTGCACCCGTCTCAGAATTGCTGCACTCAGTATTCCTTGGGTTTTTTTGAGCTTGTGGCTCGGAAGGAAAAAAAGGCACCATGAACGACATCGTGCAAGAAGGCGTCCATCGCTCGTCCAGCATGTCGAACTGAGAGTGCAACCCCAGATTTAGCAGCAATCGATCCTTGCACCGCAAAGCCCATAGCCAAGGCAATGCTGGGCATAGCGCTGGGTGAGCTGAGAGCGCAGCAACTGTGCGATGGTCCTGAACAAGTGCTGCCAGGGCCTCCCGTGCGGACGAAAGCTCCAGAAAGGTAGCTTCGGAGTTGTTCTGGTGCAGCTATTAAACTGCACAGAAGGTGCGCGAACCTCGAGCTCTGTGTGCAGCTGTCTCCGCCTGCAAGACTGACACCAGATGAGAAAGGGATTTGGGCAAGCCTCAGCACGCCGATCAAAGAAGCAAAACCTCCCGAAAAAGAGACAAAGTTGGCTGACGGCATCCATTCCCGTCTGCACTAAACCCATTAGACTGTGTCGGCTGTCCGTACGTGCAGAGAACAGACAAAGTGGTAAGGGATGCTTCGCAGAAGAGGAAAACAGCCAGCGCACTCAGTGAAAAAATCTCTGCGCCCGCTTGTTTCGCTTGCTAGTCAGCAAAGCAGTCAGACTGGTCCGACAAACATGCTTTGATTTACGGCTCTGGCGCTGTGCTCTCGCCGCGGGTGGAAGTTCCGCGCTGAACCATAGTTTTTGGTTGTAAATTTTGCTATCGCTCTTCTTCCTTTCGCTCTTGCGTCTGCGGGGTGCAAAGAGTCGGCTCCCCCTGAAGGCCTTGGCACTCCACTCGTCCAATCCTCTTACCATCGTTTCTTGATCTCTGACTCTCTTCCACGACGCTGCCATTCAAACAGCTTTGTCGCATCTTCGTTGGATCCATGATGAAATTCTTGAGCTTCAGAGAAGCTAGGGGACGTGAGGCGGAAAAGTCCTTCTGTCTGTCTGCCCTTTCGTTCCCAAGTCCCAGCCCTGAAGTGTCCTCCACTCCTGAAGGTCCACAAGCAGCCTGCAGAGCCACACATCCGGACTGGCCACATTCCTCGATCGCTGAGTCTGCAGCACTGATGTCTTGAAATGGTGGGCACCAGGTGCTGGAATGAAGCTTTGTGCCTGCGGGACGAAAGACTCACATGCAGACATGAAATTTTGCAGTTCCTTGTGACATGCAAAGCCTGCGAGAAATTGGCAGATGCTTGCCGCAAAAAAGCCGTCTCATCCTCTAGACCTGAAATCAAGGTTCTGATGGTTCTGACAAGCACATTGAACCAAGCAAGGACGCAATTGCTTTCCAGAAGGCCTGTGCCATCCTGTACCGCAGCGACGGCAGTCTTCATGCTCAAGCGGCAGAGGGGCATGATGTCGGCCACCACCTCATCTAAACCTTTTACCGTTCCCAGTTCCTCTCTCGCTGCTTGAGGCACGGGCAAGTGTCTCTGCATCCAGCCACAGGGCCCGAGAAGCTGAGGGGGGCAAATACCTGCGTACAGTGATCCTACATGCTGCTGCAGCACCTGGACAGAGCCTTCAGACATCTTCGTGTTGCAGCTCCGTGCACGACCAGCTGCCGAGGAATGCAAGCCGTCTCCAAATTTCAACCCTGGAAAACTCGGCTGCCGTGCCGAAATGTACGGCCAGCTGTCCTGGAAACTGACAGAAGAATGGATAGTTCACGGTCTGGAATATGGCCCATGGCCAAGCTCGATGTGATCGTGGGGCACTGATGAAGGTAGAAGCGACTCATCTGCAGCTTGATTCTCCTGCCACTGTGATGGAATCAGTGCAAACACTACCTGGCAGCAAAAAGGCTACGGAATTATTTTGGGAATGTATTTGTTTTTGGGGGGGGACTTTTTTCCTGTGCTGCTTCAGCACTCGAAGAGACAAAGGACTGGCCGGAACTGCGACACCAGTGCTAGTATTTCGTGCTCTGAGGGCAAGGCGAGCCTAACCAGAGGCGAGAGACAGCGGGAAGAAGTGGGCAGTAGTGCTGACTGGACCGAAAGCACCGTGCTTGCCGCTTAGTCTGAAAAACCAGAAAGCAGCAGCAACCGGGAAAAGGGCCTAGTAGTAAGTAGTCGTAGTCGTAGTCGTAGTAGTAGTAGTAGTAGTAGTAGTAGTAGTAGTAGTAGTAGTGCTGCTGCTACTACTACTACTAATACGATGACGACGACTACTGCTAGAACCTTAACTACGACTGCGACGA